GGGTGATGGCACTATCAAAATCTGGGCCCTTTCTGGCAGTGGCTGGTGGAAACTCCCCCGGATGCTGTACCCAGAGAGCCACGGTGTCATCCTGCCAGGGTGACATCAGGGGAGGGGATGGGGAGGGCTGTGGTGGCAGTAAGTGGCTTCCTCCATACAGCGTGTACCTGCAGCAGCTGAGAGCAGAGCAAGCTGTTTTGGAGCACAGACACCGCTTCCTTCCTCTTCACCCTTGGCCTTGCGGGGGGGCTGGGAAGAGGCTCCTGGCTTTAGGAACCAACCACAGCTGCCCCAAAACCCAGCAAGACCAGCCCTGGGGCAGGAGGCAGCAGGATTGGATCCGTCCTGCCAGCCTGGCTTCAGCAACTGGGAGTGAGGAGACTTTCTCCCTCTCCTCTACCTCTGCCACTCCCAGAGCAGGTGGAAGCAGATTAGCACAGAGGAAGCACCAGTGAGGAAACAAAAAAAGTCAAACCACCATATGAATGGCCCCATAATGCCAAGGAACCCATGGGAAGGGCGGTGCAGCACATTTCCCCTGGGCATGTCCCAGGAGACTAGCACTCCTTACATCTGTCTCCTGCTCCCGGCACCATCCCCCCCAGCATCAGCCTGTGCCACCCTCTGTCTCGCCAGCCCAAGCATGAAGAACAAAGCTTTGCCCTTTCCAGTCACTGTCGCCAAGCCCTGGGGCTGTGAAAGGCACCCCCACCCCAGCAAAGCAGCTGGCAGAGACACGGCACTGCCAAGGAGGATCCGGCTCAGGATGACAGAGTGCTCCTACCTTTGAACCACCGCTCTTTGCCCTCTTGCCACTCAATGTTACCTTGGGCACTTGGCGGCCCCCCAAAGGTGGCAGCCACCCCTGCAGTGGGACACCGGAGTGGGAAGGATGCAATAAATGAGCCAAGCTGCCCTGGGGGGGGAGGCATGGGGGCAGGGAAAACAACTTGGTTAAGCCTGGGCTTAAATTTGGGCTGGAAAGGCTGAATTCTAGCTGCGTTTCAAGTTTGGTCTCACCCAGAAGTTTCCCAACACCAGAACTGTGCTTTGCAAAGCAATTCTGCAGGTCACCTTCCCTCCCAGCATCAGAGTCAGGAAATCCAGGCATTTTAACCTCTTCCTTCCTAGGCAGACATAGGATAAGGCATCCAGCCAAGCAGAGCAGGAGCTGACACCCACCAGACCCCAGAGTGGCAGCGTGAGGACGGAGAACATGACCTTTGCATTTGTGACAGGACTGTGAGACCTGGGGACAGCTTTCTGCTCTTCCCCTGAGTGCTGCTGGCAGGACAGAATGAGCCTGGGGAAATTGAGGCAGCACTACAAACCTCACTGGAGAGTGTAGGCGTGCTGTCCCACCAGCCACCCGTTCTCCTGCCATGGAGGCTGCCCAGGCAGCACTTCCTGGCCAAGCGCCAGTGGCCCATGTGGATGGGTTTCCCCCCAGGAGCTCATGTTACTGCACTGGTGCCTGCCAAGGTCACCATGCAGCAGCCCCAGGGAGATGGGACGAAGGCAGCTGCTCATGCTGGGAGCATCTCCTCCAGCCTCAGCAGCCCCTGGCTCTGAAATAAGCCCATCTCAAGGCCTCTGTTCCCACTGGACATGATGCCGGGAGGAGCACGCCATCCAGGAAAGCTTTCCAGCCCCTATGCTTTGGCAGGGAGGCTCAGAGGAGGCAGAACAACAAGCCTTGTGTTACACCATTTCCTGCAGAAACAATGATCATGCCAGCACTTTGGCACACTCAAACCCCTTTGACAACTGCAAGCAAGGACAGAAACTCCTGGAAGAACTCATTTCCTGCAGGTTTGATGCAAATAAACAGCTTTCAGCCCTAAGGCCAGTGGCAACAGAGAAGGGCACAGTGCTGCTCCAGGCTGCCTCTGGCTCTGCTCTCCCCCTCAATGCCTTTTGTATTTCTTCCCTTAACACTGCTCCTGCAAGCAGGAGGGAGGAGGGGGGTTTGCAGCCAGCCCTCAGCCCTCAGCTCATAACAGCTCTGGTTGGGGTGGCTGCAGATATGCCTATGGGAACATCACCCAGGTCTGACACATGTGGAGCATCCCTGGAGCAGGGATGCCCCATCCCACTTTGCAGGTGGAGGTCTTCCCCTTGCCCTTGCACGGAGAGAAGCAGCCTCTTGGGAGATGGTGGGGGGAGCTGCCTGGGAACTCACGTGTCTTCCAGGTACATGAAATGGGGTGGGAAAGGACGTGGCTCCATACAGAGCTAATGAAAGCTGGGAGGATTACCAGCAGCAGCAGATCCCGTTGCCTTGCTGCTGCTCTGGCTCACAGCATGGACAGGCAATTCTGGGTTTGAGATCCAGCCTGGAGACCCCCAGGCCAGGCTGCTTAGCTCAGCTGGACCCCATGAAAGCCCTTCAAGCAACAGGTCAGTGGGCAAGATGGAGGTTTTCTTGTGATCATCCAACAGCTTGGCCAAAGCCCTTGCTTTCAATGGCCAGCTAAGCCAGGAAGGTGTCAGGAAGAGGTGAAGGCACTGGATGCTTTTACCAGTGTTATTGTGCTCAAGAGAAACATCCCAGGTGTGGGACTGGGCAGGGAGACTACCCCAGTCAACCTTGCAGAAACCTGCCTTGATTTGGGTGGGTTTTAATCCTTGGAGGGAGGGTAAAATCCCTATCAGCTCCTCTGGTTTGAGGTGGGGATGTGGGTGCATGAGAACACAGCAGCTGAGGCCCCCTTTGCAAGGCCCCAGCACAGAGCTATGGGGAGAAGGGCTGAGGAGAGGTGACAAATATGCCACCAGCACTGCCCAGGGCTGAGGCTGACAGCTGCAGGGACCCAGTGTCACAGTGGAGGGAGCTCACTTTCAGGGGTGCATAACTTGCCCCGGAAAGCAAATGCCAAAATCCCCCCTTGGAGGTGCAGGACCCAGCCTCGGCTCCTGCGCTGTCATCAGCAGAAGTGGGCACTTCTCCGGGACATTTTGGCGTTGCCCTTTGCAGGGGATCTACAAGCCACAGCCTGGCAACGTCCCAGGGAGCCCTGGACAGAGACAACACCTGGAGAGGAACAAATCTGCCCCCCCTGTTTTGGCTGCTCAGCCTGGCCTCCCCCACTCCACACCAGCCCCACGGACGGAGCTGCCTCTTGCAGCTGAATTTCAGCACAAAGGGGAAGTCTGCTTACAACCAGGCTTCACACCCCACGTCCTTTTCCTCCTCCTGCTTCTCCCTCACCACAAACCACAGTCATCCCCACGAGGATGCCACGGAGCATCCCTCCATAGATCTCAGCAAAGTTCTTCCCACCCTATCCTACTCGGCACTGGGAGCACTGGTGGTTCTGGGAACGGAGTGGAGGAGGATGAGCAGAGGCTGCTGTCTTCTCCCATTGTCCTGGGAGCAGCAGAACTCAGGGGCTGGAGGGGAAGAGCAGTGACGATTAGCCAGGGGAACACCACTGCCGCCGAGAGAGGGTTCGGGGAGGGGGCAGGCGGAGACAAAGCGCTTCCCTGCCATGGAGCATCCCCGTTCGACATCCCGGGGTCACGCAGGACACGGGTTCGGGGGGGCTGAGCCCCTCGGTTTTCGCACCCGCCTTGCGCAGCGATGCTCTCAGCAGGGCGGGCAGAGGGGACCGGCCGTCAGGATGCTGGCACCACCGTGTCCGCAGCCGAGCGGGGGGACAGAGGGCTGGGGGGGCAGCAGAGCTCTGACCCCCCACCGCCAAGGGATGTTCTGCCCATCCCCACCCCCCACTCACCTCCACAGCCCCTCGAAGGGGGAAACTGAGGCGCGGACCGGGGCGTGGGGAGGGACCGGAGCTGCGTGCAGCCAGGCGAGGGCGAGCAGGAAACGAGCTCCGGCTTCGCAAGCAGCTGCCGGCCAGCCCGGCCCTGCCCTCCCCTCCTCTGCCCTCCCCTTCTCAGCCTTCCCCTCCCCTCGCCTGCCCGACCCTCCCCCGCGGCCGAGGGGCTTTGTGCCGCTGCCCGGTAGGGCGGGGGGTTGGAGCGGCGGGAGGAGCGGCACAGCACAACTCCGGCAGGGTTTTTTGAATTTTTGGGGTGAGAAACCAGACTTTTCGCAAAGCAGACCAAAAGATTCGGGTGATGAAGCCAAACCGCTTCACGTCCCGCCCCCGCCGCTGTGCTGCTCCCCCCGCAGCCATAAACTGGCCAGGAGGGAGCTGGAGGCATGGGGGGACCCGGGACGGGGGAAGGTCTAGCCCAGTGCAAGCTCCAGATCCCGACCAGTATCCCAGACCACCACAACTCACGTGGAAGCTTTTGGTATGATGTTTCCACCTGGGTTTATCCAGGTGGGAATGCTCCCAGGGGTGTGAAGGTAGCTTTGGGGGGGGGGGGGGGGGGGGAGCCGCCGGGGTCACCGAAGATCACTCTTAGCTGGTGCTCTTTAGGGTTTTTGGTGTCCTCAAGGTGCTGCTGGACACTTGCCATGTGCTGGGGTGGCAAAGGAGCTGGGGTGGCAGCCTGTGACTCATGGGGACAACCTGCCACGAGGCTGGGGGCGGTGACTTAGGGACAGAGGGTGTGGGTTACAGCAGCCACCATGAGTCACCTGTGGCACTGCTGGCAGCTACAGCTAAGCAGAGTGACCCCTCCATCCCTGCCTCCTGCAGCCCCCTCGGGCCTCTTCCTGGGCCTCCTGGTGCAGAACCCCCTGCCATGACCCTGTACAACTTGGCTGGGCTGTTCTGGGCCCACAAAGTTGCTGAGTGCAGGCACAGTGAAGTCCACCTGTGTTTCAGGGCCACTCGGACATGGAACTGGGGCATCTGAGTCAAACCAGGCCATTTTCCTATGCAGCGGAGTGGTTGGAAATAGCTCCCTCTGTTTGTGAGCATTTTGTGGTGCCATGGGAAAGGCTGAACAGAGACCTGCTCCTTCCAGCCTCAGCATTATCCCCCAGTCAGCAGCAAACGAGCATTAGATCTGAATTGCAGCAGGGACCAAGGGCGTGCGGTGGCAGAGGGCACGTGGACAGCACCATGGGACACTGCTCTACTGAAAAGCCATGGCTGTGGGCAGCCCAGTCTGTCCCCAGCAGAGGGGATGTGTGGGGGCACACCTGCACCCCTCAGTGTGCTGACTACAGGCAAACTCACGGCGTCAGTGAGGACTGCTGCAGCTCCCTGAACCCTTCATGCTTATATGGTGCTGCCAACCATACCTTAGCTCCTACCACAGGGTGTTCCACCCGCTCCAGCATTACAACTCTCCCATTTTTCCTCTAACTTTATTATTCTAGAGTTTTGGTGATTTATGGCATGGGGAAGGAGCAGTGACACCTCCCAGCTGCCTTCCCCTCCCTGGTCTAGCTAGGCCTTGGGTGATGCTGCAGACTGCAGCCGCTGCAGCTCTAGGACACGGATGAGGAGGAGGAAGGCGATGCTCAGGAGAAGCAGCCAGAAGAAAACCCAGTAGTGCTGCGGGAGGAAGAGCCACGGCCGCCACAGCTCCACTGCGGATCCCTTGGACCTGGGGAGAAGGCAATGGGGGACACTTGTCATCCATGGGAGAGAGCAAATCCCACCTCCACCCCAGCTGGGGATGGGGAGGGCGTTTAACACAGCCCCAGACCTTCCACAAACCAAAATGCAACAAGCCTGGGGAGGGCGTGGGTGACCCGAAATGCATGGGGCAAGACTGAGGCACAGCAAGGTCTGGCAGAGGCAGCCAAACAACATTCTGGCCTTCCACCACTAATTCCCCCAGCCTGCTTCCCAAGTGCTGGCCACCTGGGGACCACAGAGAGTCCAGCAGCCGTAGGGGAATGCTGGGCACACACAGTGCTGCTCACGTCAGCCCAAGCTGCTCTGGCTCCTCATCCCCTGCCCTTGAGCCTCTGCCATCTGCCTCAGCCACCAGCTCCTCAGTCATGGCACTGCCCTGGCCCTGTGGCTCCAGTTCATTCCTGGGGAGGGAGAGGACAGGGTCTGTGCCATCCTGCATGGGCCAACAGCAGCCAGTACCATGACTGCCCTGCCACCCAGTGCCCTGCCACCAGTTACCTCTGGGTGCTGGGCCAGCGCTGGGCCCCCTCTGGCTCCGTCTCACCTGCCAGGGCTGCTCGGCTGTCAGGGCTGGCACCTGGCTGGGCACCAAAAGTGGGAGCATCAGTGGGGACTCAGACCCCCAGTAGTACTGAGCCTGGGGACACGTGCCCAACAGCAGGGCACAGCTCTGTGTGTCCCCCCTGCACATGTCCTTACCAAGAGCTGCTTGGGGATGACAGCGATGCTGACTCTGCGGCGGGCAGACCCCTGCAACAGAGGGGCTGGGGGTGAACACCACACCGGCTGCTTCTCATCACCTCCTTCCCTATCACCTCCCCAGCAAAGGCAAGGGACACCGAGGAGAAGGGACACTGCCAGCTCCCACTGGTCCTGCACTAAGAGGGGAAACCGGAAAGCCAGGGAGATGAGGGAAGGTCAAAGCCAAGGGGTTTGCGCCTGTCATTACTGCTACAAGCTGTGCTGGTGGGGCTGCCTAACCCCCTTCCCGAGCACTCCCCTACCTCTTGAGCTGTAGGGGAATCAGTGCTGAATTCGAGCTGGTGCTAGAGAACAGCCAAGCCTGTGGTTCTCGAGCTATGACCCTGCAATGCAGAGGGATTTGCCTGAGATCTCCCGGACAAGCAGCCACAGGGAAACCCTGTCTGTGTCCCCCCAGCACTTTAAGGCTGCCCCTACATTTTGCCTTATCCCCAGCACTTCTAGCACATCTTCCCTGCAGCAAGCAGCGAGCCAGAGTGGCATTGCCTGGGGACTAGGGGGTGCATTGGGACAGCCAGCCAAGGGAGAACAGCAGGGCATGGGGAGGCAGTGACTCCAAGATGGCTGAACTGGACCAGTTACCTGCTGGAAAGTTCGCTTCAGGGGGTGAGGCCTCAGCCGTGGCTCCACATCATCTGGGAGCAAAGAGAAACCACCTTACATCATCCCCCAACACTAAAATGGGGCTGAAATGCAGGCGGTCGCAAACCTCCCTCCCATCAAAAGCTGTCCTGGCCATTTGCTTTGTGCGTGGCAGGTGTGCCCTGGGCAGGGGGACCTGGTCACGTGCACAGCAATGGCACATGTGGGGCTTGGTGTCCAGGGACAGAGAGTTCTTTGTGTGCACGGGGCCCCCCTGCCCCGCATTCCCAGCTGGGCTATGGGGGGATGGCTCTCCAGCCACCAGCAGCTGCTCCCACGCTGCATCTGCTGTTACAGTGGCCCCTTGCATCTGTCATCAGGTTCCAGCTGTTCCCCCACCACTGGTCCCCAGCTCACACAAGCCATTGGCTCTGTGGTGCAGGGTCACACTGACCCCCCTGGAGGGGTGTGGGACCAAATCCTGCAGGGTTGTTCTTTGCAAACCCTGTGTGGGCCCCCATGGCAGAGCCCACCTCACCCTGGGTCTCTGCCAGCTGCCGGTTGCGGGAGTTTTGCTGGATCAGGCGCTTCATCTCCTCCAGCTCCGCGTGCTCCCGCATGTGGTGCCGCTTCAGGTTCTCCACGTGCTGGACCATCACCTCTGCTGCTCGGCTCATCCGGGCCTCCTGCAGCCAGGCAGTATGGTGGATTAGGGCCCCCATCTCCTGGTCCCTAAGGAGCCAGGTCTCTGAAAGTCCCTCCCTGTGCATCCCATAGTGCCTCCACTCAGGGAGTGCAGATACATCCCCCTCCTGCTCCCAAGGACAGGCAGATCCCTTGCAGCCTGGTACGTGCAAACACGAGGTCAGGGCCAGCACCACGAGCAGGAGGGACAAACCCCAGCACCCCAGGGACGGGTCCCCAAGCCCAGCTATAGCACCCTCCATCGCTCCTAGCCCTGGCAGGGAGCTCTGGTTGTGCACAGACCTGGTGTACAGCCCCCAGCTTCTCCGCAGCACTGGTTGCCCGCTCGACAGCTGCCGACAGCACAGCCAGGTTGTGCTGCAGCTGCTCCAGCATCTCCTTGCAGCCCACATTGGCACAGGATGGACCCAGCCTCTGCGGGGGGAGAGAGCGGAGCTGCTGGAGCTGGGACTTTGAGATGTCCAAACCCCTCCTGGGCTGGATGTCCCCAGCACATGCCAGTCCCCTGCCCTGGTGCCCACCTACCTCCAGGGCAGCCCGGCACTGCCCCAGCTCCTCCTGGATGTTTTCCTCTGCTGCATCCCGTGCCCGCTTCTCCACCTGAACCCGTTGCTGCAGGGTGAACATGTCACAGCGAAAAGCCAGCGCGAGGTGGGCAAAGGCTGCCTGAGAAATGGGGGGTGAGAGATGGGACATGGGGCACAAAGGAAGCCACCAGGACAACGTGCTGCTGTCCTCAAGGCACAGACAGACCTCACAGTGTGCCACCAAACGGGGCAGTGCTAAAGACATTTAGCACTTGCCTTTCCCCAGCACCAGTTAGGTTGCTGCATGCTGGGCACAGTCCCTTGAGATGCCAGCCTGAGGAGACACGTCTCCCAGGCAGCTGATAACGCACGGAAATCCCGAGCCCTCCTGGCAAGAGCACGCGCCGGGCAGACGCCAGCCCTTGCTGCGGGTCCTGGCTGATGGTGGAGCCTGACTCAGCCCTGGCACTCGCAGGGAAATTATTTTTATTATTGTGGCTCCTGCCAGCTCCCCGGCTAAGGGCGCTCTTCAACAGCTGCAGAGCACTTTGTAGGATTGCTGGGTGCTCAGAGGACAGACTCATCTTGCCATGGAAATGCAGCTGCCTCCAAATGCCAAAAGCATTGCTGGGAAAGGGTTTATAAGGTGTCTGCTGGTGGACTGCGGTGCCTGAAGGGTGTCCAGGAGCAGCACAGCCAAGGGACTGTGAGCCAGCAAGGTGTCCATCCCTGTGTCCCCCTTCCCTAGCCCACCTGCAGCCCCTGGCAGCCCTCACCTCCAGATCCTGCTCTGTCAAAGCCACCCTGCAGAAAAAGAAGTGCTGTCAGGGACAGAGGCATCATGGGGGCTGCATGCTGAAAATGCCCTTGTTCTGCCCCCAGGGGTGCCAGCCACCACCAGAAGTGGGAAGCCAAGTGCCCACTGCCTGGTCAGCAACTCTTATGCAATGATAAAGGAGGAAAGTCCAGTCTCTGGACCATGTGGTGCCCTGGTAGCCCCTGGAGAGATGCAGGTGCTCACTGGTCTTACCTGTGCAAGCCTAGCCTGTCCAGCACGGAGAGCTCACTGGGGAAACTCAGCACTGGCTCCTCCAGGGTTTCTGCATCTGCAGGGAGGGAGGGACACTGCAATAGACGACACATGAGGACTTTTCCTCAGCCTTCCCTCCTCCCTCTGCCTTTCTGTCCTGGCAGGGAGCAGGTGCCCCTGGTGTGGAACCATCCCAATCCTTCCTCTAGCATCAGGGGGGCTTCAGGTCCCCCCAGGCCAGCCTCCCCTTTCCCATGTACCCACCAAGTGAGATGACCTCCATCGGAACATGTTCCCAGACTCATCCACAGCTACTTCAAACCTTCCCCTAAAGGGACTCAGCTGGGATGTGGGATGGGGATTCACCCACCTTCTTCAGTCCTGTCACTGTCCCCGGTGTGAGCAGCCTGTTCCTGCCTGTCCCTGCCTGGCACCTGGGAGGCACAAGGGTGCTGTCGAAACAAACCTCTCCCTGGTGCTTCATGGCATCCCAAAAAGACCAGCACCAAGAGGCTGAGCCCAAGGAACTGGGAAGGAAAGGGCCCCCCAACCTGTTAACCTCCCCTCCCTCTCACCTCATTGACATGCTCCACACTCTGCTGGCTCCCAGCCAAAACCCTCTCTGAGTGCCTCTGGGGACTGCTCATCCTGCCTGGGGACAGAAAGGGTGGTGGGAGCTGAGCAGCAGGGTCCCCTTCCCAGCCTGACACCACTTCAGAGGAGACCACTGAAAACATCACTGGCATTTTGGCAGCCTGCAGGCTCACAGGGGATGTGAGCTGGCAGGTGCCCTGCAAAATATCCCTGTGAGATTAAGGGAGCTGCTGTTAGGCTGGGCCAGGGCAGGGGGAGGAAGGCAAGGTGCAGAGGGTGGGTTACAGCTGGTGAGGCAGATCCGGGGGACAGGGTTGGGGTCCCAGGGCTGGAACGGGTTGCAGGCAAGTGCTGCCAGGCCAGGGGACACCCTTCTGCTGCTCAGAAAGGGAGGGTGCAAAACCCACCACTTTGCCCCCATCCCCACCCTGAGCTGCCCTTACCTTCATCTGGAGATGTGGGGAGCCCGGACAGCTCTGCCTGCTGCTCCCTGTGGAAAGAAGCCTGGATAAACCCTAAAGAAACTCAGAAAGCATCGGCAACATCCCACCCCTCACCCTCCCCCTACTGCCACGGCACCCTTTGGTGTTGCTGCTTCGGACCTGGGTCCTTTCCGAGCATCCTCCACAGCCTGCTCCGTCCCCATCCCCGCTCTCCCTGGCACGGGTGCAGCAACCCCCTCCACTCCTGCTGGTGCTGCAGAGCCGCCACCGAGGAGCCTGCCGAAGCCGTTTCCAGCCAGCAATGAGTCACCGGCCCGCGGCCGTGGTTTTCCTCAGCACTGTCTTTTTTTTCTCGCCCTGGCTGCCAAGCAGACCTCACTGCGAGCTGGCCTCTTCCAGCACCACAACGAACCCAGCTGCCGAAAGAGCCCAAGTACAATCTCACACCACCCTCCGGGGATGGCAGGTCTGAGTGCATGCTTTTGCCCCCCCAAAAGTGCACTGGGATGGCCTCATTACTCTAAAACCCTGCCTTGGGTGCAGGAAAGTCTGGCAGCTCTGTAGCATCCCTGCTCACTGGGGCCAGGGATGCTGGAGCTCGCCAAAGAGGGCAGGTCACCAATGCATGGAGATACAGGGGCTGATGTGCAAAGAGCTCTCTGTGGCACCATGCTGGATCCCAGCACACAACTTGGAAAGGGTTTGAATCCCCAAACTTTGCCCCTAGCTCTGGAAAGGGCTACAGCAGGGCTTTTCCCTCGCCTCCTGGCAAGCCTGGGGGTCATGCCCTGAGAGCAGTGGCTGCAGGAGAAGAGGCTGCCATGCCAAAATGATGCTCAGTGTCCCTTGCCTGGCACTGCCATTCCCATCCCATCCTTGCCAGCACCCCAAGAGCCACAGGGTGAACTTTTTGTGCACATACCTCCGGGTTGAGGGGCCGGGTTGGCAGCTCATTCTCTGCCGCTGCCGCCGCCGGCGCCCCTGGGTGAGTCCCTGCGCCTCCTCTTCCCCCTCTCCCAATGAGGTCCCTGTGAGTGGCTTCATTTGTGGAGCACAGAAGCTCCAGGACCAGCACACCTATCATGAGAGACACACAGTAGCTGTGCACAGATGGAGAACGCCTCTAAATGTTATATTTTTAAAGCATTTTCTCACCCAGCAGGAGCTCCGAGCTCCTCTGCTTAGCATGGGGGCATGTGGGAAAAGAGGTGGGGAGGCCCACTGTGATTCAGGAGGAGGCTGGTGGGATTCAGGTGGGCATGGTGCAAGGCAAATGAGGACTTTAATACAAGCCCCATTTGTGGGCAGCGCAACACATTGAGGGTGGACTTTTGCCTGGGGCTTGTGATGTGGGTCATCTCTGTGGGGGGAGGTAACTTTGCACCAACCAACCAGTGTGAGCACCCAGTGCAGAGGGAGAGCGACCCACTGTTCCCCAGGCTGCAGACAGAGCAATCTCCAAGCATCTTCCTGCAACACTGGCTCCCAGAGAGACTAATATGAAAGATTTCCAAGTCCAAGGGAGCTTGGACAACTCATTTAAGCTGTTTTATAACAGTTAAAGAATTAGAGAAAGATGCAGAAAGCCCACAGAGTCCCTCTCCCAGCCCAGGGTAAAGTCACTGTGCAGAAGGGACTGTCCCACAGGACACATCTCCTCAGAGGCTGTTCCCACAAACATGCAGATATGGGGCAGAAGGAGAAGAAATACACTAGAAGTCTAAGGGGACAGAGAGCAGGGACTGCTTGAACCCTCCCATATCTGTGCAAAGCCTTGGCCAAGCTCAGTCTAGGTCACCCCAGCATCGAGCAGGGCCATCAGCCAACTTGCAGAGCCTGATGAAGGTGTAAAAGCAAGCAGCACTTGCATCTATCCAACCAGCCCATTTCATGCCCATACACTGGGAATTGTCGTTGACACCTTCACCCCCCAGGGGCTCAGGAGCCCCCAGCCACTGGGCATCAGCCAAACTCATCACACCAGCAAGCATCAGAGTCCTCTGGAGGGCTGGTCCCTGCTGCAAAGCACTTGCTCCATCACAGCCATGGCAGACCCTGCTGTCTCACTGCAGCTCTGACAGCCTCACAGACACTCACTCCTATCTTTGTTTTACGGATGGAAATACAGAGGCACACAGCTGGTTTGGCACAAGTAACCCCCTGGAGAACCAAACCGAGCGCTTTCCCTCAGCTTGGCGACTTTACCAAACGCTCCCCGGGTCATTACCTGCCTGAACTCGTCTCAAGCAGCCGAAGGCAGATGCTGGGACCACCCAGCTCAGACCCAGCACTCAGCGCTGTTGGGCCCCCATCAGACCCAGGAGGGGGTCAGGGGACGTGGCGTGGCCGGCAGATGGTGGGTCAGGGGGTGCTGGAGCCCCACACGGTGCAAGCTGCCAGCAGCAGAGCCTCCCCGGAGGGGAGAGCAACTGCATCTGCAGCAGAAGGAGCTGCCAGGGACAAGCCAGATGAGAGAAGGCCTTTAAAGGAGATGCACAAGAGCAGCTGGGAGCTCCCTGTGCCGGCCGGGGCGGGTGGAGTGGGCTGCAGGTGGTCAGGTGACCTCTGCTTTTCGTGAAAGACCAGTTCCTGCACCCACTCTTAGGAGGTGACAGAGCTGGGAAAGACTACGACTGTTCCCTCTGTGCCAGGTGTCTGTAGAGCAGAGCAGTCCTGAGCAGGAGGCTCAGGGCAGGGTGGTGGCACTCAGGACCTCCACAGAGACAGGGGATCCCCCCATGCTTTCATGGGGGACTCAGCACCAGGCTAAACCAGGATGGCTGATTAGGAGCCCCTGTATTAGGTGATGCAGGGAAGCCATTCTGCCCAGGCCCCCCATTCCTCCTGCTCCTCTCAACAGTCCTACTTTCCCACCAGCCATAACCCCACTGCCCCTTCCCCTGCCCAATCACTTTACTCAAATCCATCACATCCTCTAAAGCAGCTTTCTTCCCCTAATGAGCTTACAGAGTCAGATTTGATGCTCAGCACTACCAGGCTAAGCAGGCAGCTGCTCTTGCCCCCCCTCTTTGTGCCCAAGGTACCCTGATGTACCCCAAGGAACAATGCAGCCCCTTGGGGGCTGCAAACCTCTTAAGCCCTGAGAGGGCAAACAGCACCTCCCAGCCCCAGGGCAGACCTGGCCCAGCCTCTGCCCCGCCTGCCAGAGAAAGAGGCCAGGGTGTGGCCCCAGGGCCAGAGGTTACAAAACAAGGGGGGTGGAGGACAGATACTTTTGCACAGAGACCTGGCTTCCTCCCCGGGAGCAGCAGCCTGGCACCAAGAAGCAGATGAGGCTCTGTGGCTTCTCCTCCAGTGTCCTGGCAGGTCCACAGCTGCAGCAAGGTGCTCCATGAGGGACACAGACCTAAGGACACTATCACACTAGCTCCCCTATTCCCTCCCATGCTCTGGGGAGAGTTAATAAGAGGCAGAGCCCCTCTTTGCAAACCATCCCATTCAAACAGCCTCTAAAGCATTTACTTAAAGTACCCATGGATTATTTTCTATTCTTATTTTTAGCCTTAGAGCATCTAAATCGCGATTGCAATCCAGGTTATCGTAGAGCCTCAAACAAGAAAAAGCAGCCCAGCTCCCCTCACACAGACCTGTTCAGTGGGAATGAACAAGACCCTGCTGGGAGTTCTCCAGCCCAGGGAGGTGAGCACGTGGCTGTGGGATCTGGCTTTGCCCCCTGTTCTCCTTCCAGCGAGGTCCCTCTGGCAATGCAGCAGCTACTGCAGCAGCATCTTCCAGGGCTCCTGCTGAAGCTGAGCTGAACTTGCAGCTCAGATCGCAGAGACTTTGGTCATCTGGATTATCCACTTCTTGGAATAAAGCTGCTCAGACCGACACTGGCTGCTACTGCTGATGTGGCAAGCATGATTTATTAGGTCTGTGCAGGGGCCCAACAGTAAAACAACAGCCCAGCCCTACCGCAAAGTCACCTTTCTGGGGCCCTGGCTCCTCAGCCGACAGGGACCTGGCAGCCACCAGCCTACCCAAGGGAGAACATGGTTCTCTTCTTATGATAAAAAGGTTGTTGGCAAAAGGATGAGAAGGAAAAATGTTCTTTTTATTCAGTTTTAAATTCCGAGTTAAAAAAAAAAAATGCTGAGCCTTCCCCAGAGCACTTCAGCCTCACATCTGGGAGTCACAGCCCCCAAGTTTCCATGCAAAGCAGCATCAGCACATTGGGGATTACACACAGGCAATTAACCGGCTGTCACTGGACATGCAGTTACCTCCAGGGAGAAGCAGGGTGACTATTGGCCCCCAACACTGCTGCAAGAGGGTGACACAGCAACTACCTGGACATGTCTGCAGCTCCTGCTTGGAGAGGGGCAGCCCCTTGGGGATGGATATGGACCATTTTCAGGAAAGCTGCTGAGTTTCAGCCCTTTCCAACAAGCTGCTGCATGGCCCAAGGCTCCTCCAGGGCTCTGATGTCTGGTGTTTAATATCTGTGGATGCAGTGTTCGCACACCCCTGCCCATCCCAAGGAGGTTGTCTGTTGCCAGATCATGGCACCACGATGGCACTTGGGGAGTGGAGGGACCATCTTGTCATGAAACTGGTTCAAAAATTACTGTGGAGGATGTGGAGGCAGCAAAGTGGACAGATAACTCATGCAATCATATATCATGAATTTCCTTTAAAAAAACCAAAGAACTATTAGGTCAAAAAGGGAATTCCCCACTGTACTATGAAGGAAGTAAATCTCTACAGAAGAGGAAGCAGATAAGGAACCACTGTCAAATATCACAACTAGACTGGCTGAAAATTATACACCTATATATATATATGCATTCAACATCCAGCCTAGGAAAGGTCTTGGACAAAGCTTCAGACAATTCTCTTCACCAATACTGCTATTAAATCAGGACAAGGGCAAAGCCAGTCCTGGTGCTCCCTCCACCCTTGGATAAGGTTCTGCTAAACTATAAAACCTGACAGATGTTTTATGCTGCATGCACCTCTTTGCACTGTTCAAGCTGGATTTTAAAGTTCTCGAGGGTCAAGAGGAGTCAAAAGTAAGGTTTTCTGTGTGGGTGCTACCAACTGCCACATAAACAAGCAGTCTATCACCAGCATGTTTAGTGTCTCTGGGGTTTGCTCCAAATTCTCCTTACACAATTGTTATCTGCACGTACACCCTAGAGGAATCCACAGCACATGATAAGCTGCAGCCAAGAGCAAAACCAGGGCTAAGAAGGCTCTGTCCACAAGCCAGAGTAATGCTTCCCAGCAGAACAGGAATCCCCCTTGCAGTCTGCAAAGCTGATCCCTTCCTGACTACCGTTTCTTGCAAAAGCCACGTAAGCTGGCCCAAAGCACAGCTCCCGGTGTGTCCCAGCAAACTGCAGTGCAGCAGCAGCAGCCAGGAACTGTCACAATGAGCCCACTGACTAAAGATAACACCGAGGAGTTACAAAAGCAGACACCCCTTGGGGAGCAGCCACGTGCCGTGGCCGGAAAATTTCCAACCCTTTATCACTGCCCAGTTCACAGAGACACCGAGGCTTCCCCACGGAGCTCCAGGTACACACAGCATGTGCATTCTCAGCAATGACACCGGGAAGCTGATTGCCATGAATTTTAGAGATCAGTTTGTCCTCGGTCATCTTCACATGACCGACAGCCACGGCCAGATGGAGCAGTGGGGACAATGACACTGAGGTCACTTGGTAGAAGCTCTGCAGGGAAACTGCAAAGACCAGAGCCTGCTACCTAATAAAGCCAGAACAGCAGTCTCAGACCTTGATGATCATGGCACAATTTCTATTTATGTCGTATTTTGGGCAGCCCTACAATAGCTTCACTTTACTGAGCCACTAACTCAGTGGAATGCAAACACAGCAACAATCCAGCTCCCTGGAGGTTTCTGTCTTCCAGCTAATGCAGACTTTGAAGCCTCATCAGTCCACTGTCACCTAAAATAGCTTAAGAGATTCTTATATAAAGAAATCTGTGCTCTCAGCCTTAAGAGCATCACCTAATGCTTCACAGTTTCCTTCCTCTGGCTGGATCTAAATGAGCAAACTTAAAGCAGTCACATGTCACATCTACAAGTTTTAGTTCCCTTTCTCCCTTTGTAGATGTAAATGTTTATGGATTTTTAAATAGCTCCAGAAGTATGCAACACTTCTAACCTTCATTAAAACCCTAGCAGTACTTCTCTGAGTCCATCCACTCTCTCCCATCCTTTTCTTCCCAGCTCCCAGACCAGGAGGTGCCTAAATGAGGTTTCCAGCAGGTATTTTCAAGGATACAGGATAGAACTTTGGGCACAGTCACACTATAGAAGCACTTTTTATTAGAGTATCATTAAACACCCTGCAACGGGAAGTGTCATCATCCCCGGAAATGTGTCACACACAGCAGGGTCCCTAGCAAACAGGAAAAAAAAGTGGATTTAAAGCAGAAAGTTCAAGTTTCCCAGCTCTTCAGCTAAATCCCACTCTCCTGAACCCAGAAATCTGTAAATCCCAGCCGATCAGATACACAGCGCAGCAGACCACCGCCACACCGCTCCGAAACCAGCTCAGCTCTCGGAGAGGAACGCTGACATGTGCAAAGCTTCTGCCTTGGAATGTGACAATGTAAAATCAGGATAGTGAATTAGGTCCAGAATTATTAGCTTCACAGAGCCTCAAATCAATATCTGTCCTGGTTCAGCGATGTGTTTTGGACATTAATAACTCAGGATCTGCGAACTCAGCCCCTACAGCCCCACCCGGTCGGCATCCCTGGAGGGGCGGGGCCGCCATGTTGAGTGCTGCGGGGGCGGGGCCGCCATGTTGAGTGTGGCTGGTGGTGGGGCCGCCATGTTGAGTG